TGAAAAATCTCAGTTTCCCCTTGTGCTCCAAAATACTCTCCAGGAATGTTACCCTGGAGGGGCCGGTGCAGTATGAGGGGGGAGTTCGCTAAAATCACCCTCCATTTTGTCACTGGAAATCATTGGCAGGCTTCAACTCCATTTGGTACATATTTTATGAAGGAAGGAAAAGTGAAAGATTTGCATTCATATTACTGTATTTTTCCTCTGTAGACTAATTGGTATATAGGAGTAATGTGTTTTTGTCCATGTTAAGAATTATACTTTAGAAGCTTTGTTGTCTGAGGCTGTAACTTTGTTCAAATGTTCTTTACAGGGTCCGGCAGAAACAAAACAAATATCCCATATTATTTCTAACTCAAGGAAAATGTGATTCTTATCCAGAATTGATGGATCTCAGATGTCGTACGACATCTATTGCTATGAACTTTGCACAATTTGAAAATATCCTGGTAAGTAATAAAGCATTTTGACTGGTGAATTGATTCTAAATCAAGATGGGGTTTTTCCTAAAATGTTGTTTTCTTTGCTACAACAAAAAAACTAGGAATTTATTACAGTCTTTCAACCAAGAAAAGTGTGTTTTTAAGTGTTCGTGTACTGTTAAAACTCATTTAACAACTAGAAAGATTGATTCTTGCTCAGCTAGTGTCTTATGTAAATGTTTTAAGAGTTTTATATTTTCATTTTCAGGGAATCAATGCACATACAGAAGAGTTGTTACAGAATCCATCAATGATTGATGAGGCAATTTCTAAAGGCTTGGTTGTCTTCTGCTGGGGCGATGAGGCAAACGACCCAGAGCACAGGAAAAAGCTGAGAGCATGTGGTGTTCATGGCCTAGTATATGACAGGTATTGCATTATTATTTTACTATTGTACTCTTTCTTCACTGGATACTTAGCTGCCATCTGAATACACAATTAAGGTCCAGGGCGTCCTGGAATAGGGCAGTTGTGAAACACTGGTTTTTGTTGGGCCAGATGTGGCTGTTTGTATTTGGTTTTTTTACCGTTTGCCAAAAGCTTGGCTTTACCTGCCTGTTCAGTGTGCATTGAACCCTTACTAAATGAATCAACCAGCGAAGAATTGCATTTATGCATGCTGATATTCCTTGTGGTGGTTTCAGAGGGTTGGAGGCACTTCTGGAGGTAGGTTTTTTTTTTTAACCCGTGCTCCCTTTCTCCACAGATCTGCTATTCCTGTAGGTCCCCTGAACCCATGGGGCAGTGTTTCAGGAAGTGTAGGGGGCAGGTGTGGGGAGGGCAGGAATGTTGCATTCCATGAGTATATCAACTCGCAGTACTTTGGATGCAACCCCATAGACTTTGCTTTAAGAATTTCTGTGTATAGCACGTTCTTAGGTTAATGTATCTTTTTGGCAGTTGGGAGGGTGTTGGTTATTGTGACTCACAAAACTTGTTAAATGATTGGGGGTCTTACTCAAGAGCGCATCCCCTTAGAGGTTTTTTTTAACCTCCTGTGCATTACTCTGGAGCCAGTCTACTTCCATCCACATATAAATTGTTGTTTGGTGCTGATGGTGTTTAGGGCTCACGCTGTTGCCAACTTAGTACTAATCATGGTTTCAAAAGTGCAGGGCAGTGGGGAGGAGGAGAACACAAACCTGGTCTGACTTGTCATGAACAAAGACAAATATGGTCACAGTCCATAGACATGAAAAGATAGAGCCATAGGAACTGTGTAAAGTGCGCTCAATGTTTCTTTAACAATAGCAATAATATTATAAATATGAAAATTACAAGAATGATACTAATACACTCAAATTATCAATCCAGTTACAGAAGATAACAAAGACGGCGGGACGGTGGTCTCCGGAATGTGATGCCGTTTCAACAACGTCTTCTTCTGACCAAGAATCTATAAGTGGATGAAGTTTTACTTCGTCTGAGAGAAATTTTCTCCAATACTTGTGCAAAGAAATAGGTGAAAAATGTCATTGAACTCCATGTGAATTGGGTAGCTTTTCTATTGAAGTGCAACTTTCCACACATCATCCACTTATAGATTCTTGGTCAGAAGAAGACGTTGTCGAAACGGCATCACATTCCGGAGACCACCGTCCCGCCGTCTTTGTTATCTTCTATAACTGGATTTACAATTCAAGTGTATTAGTATCATTTTTGTAATTTTCATATTTATAATATTATTGCTATTGTTAAAGAAACATTGAGCGCACTTTACACAGTTCCTATGGCTCTATCTTTTCATGTCTATGGACTGTGACCATATTTGTCTTTGTACATACTTCCCCTGATGTTGCCTCCTGGCACTGGCATTTGGAAGTTGACTGCCTTTGAACGTAGAGGTTCCCTTTGGTCACCATGGCTAGTAGCCACTGATAGACCTCTCTTCCATGAAAATACTGACGGGGTCTTCAACGCTTGAAAGCTTATACCCTGAAAACGGTGTTTGTCTCTAGGGTGCTCCTGGCTGTAAATCTAGCTTTCCTCCAGGAATCTGTCTAATTCCCTTTTGTTTTTTAAAAACTCTTTATTAGGATATCACAATAGGTAAACTTATAATTCATGTAACAAGTAATCTCATATCCTTTTTTCTTCCACATACCCCCCCCTAAAGTCCTTCCAATCCGCAAAAAAGTCTTCTGTTTCTTGATTTTTGAGCTTTCTTGTCATTTTGTCCATTTCAACCATAAAAAGTAACTTCTTTAACCACTCCCAAATATCAGGAGTTTTTTCTTGCTTCCAGCATTGAGCGTACGTCATTCTAGCAGTTGTAATCATATACCACATTAATGTTTGTTTTGCAATATTTACTTC